ACTACTACCACCACCACCACCACTACTGCTATTACTGCTGCTGCTACTACTACTACTACTGCTACTACTACTACTACTACTACTACTACTACTTTATTGATTTTGGTTGGCGGTGGCGGTGGTGGTGCTGGCGCTGCTAGTGGTCGTCGCCGCCGCCGCCGTCGTCGTCGTTGTCGTTGTTGGCTTTGTTGTCGGCTTGGTCGTTGTTGTCGTTGTTGTTGTAGTAGTAGTTGTGGCGTTTGTGGTGGTGGAGGTGGTAGTTTCTTTGAAGCGAAGTGTCAACTGACTCTAGCCCGTCTGCATCGGCCTCTTCAATACCTTCTCGAGCGTGCTTCTGGATGTTTAAATAGGGATTGCCTATCTTCGCCTGTCATTCGTGCGTTCCCTAACTTATTCGATGTCTTTTGCGCTGCGGCTGCCCATTTTGATGAGGCTTCTGCACATACGACAAGAATCCAGGACATAGGAAAAGAACCCGGGAGCTGTTCCCATGTAATCCGCATTCGTACACGGGAACAACGGAGATCAGGATTCATGGTCAAGACTGATCCCTAAGATGCTTCAGGAAATGATGCAACCTGTGCTGGGAGGCCATTGGAATTGGCTCATCCTATCAAGGACATCCTCCATTTGGCTGCAAAGGCACTTTGTGCATTTCAAGTAGTAATCTGCGCTGCTCATTAACATTCCAGGTAGAGGGGGCTTGACAATAGGGGGGGATCGGGATGTTCTGGAGCCTCATGGGTTGGAGGCCTCAGGTGTGTGCATGACGATTCATGGTTGGAGGGTTTTTGCAGAAACCTATTGACTTTGCCTTGCAGGTCGGTCTTCATATTCGTGCTTCTGAACATCAAATATCCTATGTTTTCCGTGCTAGGAAACTAGTTGACCATCTGCCAGATGCTTGGTGTGTATTCCGTTTTGACATCCTTGGCTGTTGCTTCATCATGATTTGAGCCGAATTTCTTCAAGGCGGCGTATTGAGAAAGAACCATATCTTTTAAGGACAGCAAGATGTCTCAGGCTCCGTCCAAGTATGGGTTGCCTTGCGAATCAGCGTCTGCTAGTGGTACCAAAACGCTTGCACAACGAAACAGCACATAATGTCGGGAATGCTCAACTTATCACAGATGCATTTCTGCATGGCAGTTCTGAGCTGATGGAATGCTGAAACATCAGGGACACCAAGCTCTTGACAACTCCAACAGCTGAAGCTCACAACTTCAGGTTTGAGTACAGCATTCTATGCCCTGAATTCGACAGTTCAACGACTGAGTTCCCTTGACCCACCGGAGTAGCTGCCGCACGAACAGCTGGTACCCGAAGCCAATATTCGGCTCTCAGCCTATTGGCTGTGAGCACATGAGGGAGTTTCTCAGAAGCTTTTGCAGGCTTGAATCTTCTTAATGCCCTCATATATCTTCAGGGTCTCTAAAGGTACCTCTGTTTGGAGAAGTTCTTGTGTTAGGCTCTTTGAGCTGTACGGTCAGGCACTTGCTCTTAAGGCTTTTGCTTTTCTTCCCGCCAAGAGCCATCAAGACACTCTGTCAGGTTGATTTGAAGGCACCCTATGCGGCACACCGCGCAGCCAATGCCACTGGGACAGCGAGTGCATCCAAATCTTGCAGACCACCCAAAGAGACAGGGTGACGTGGGCCGGAGAACGCTGACTTTAAATGGTGTGCCTACTGGCCAGAAGCTCATGAGTAGGCCATTGCTGCTTGCATTCAGGTATCTGATGTTTGTCAGGAATTTGTTTTCATCCACCCGGGATCTGAATCAAGTTCTACGCTCAGCTGATTGCAATTTTCTGGTCAGTACAACGAAGCAGTTGCAGTGTGTGGGCGTTTGTGCTATACAGGCAAGCAAAGGCTAACATGGTCTTACGCACATCTAGGTTTTTAAAGCCGCGTGCAATCAACCACCTATGTCGCAGAGCGCAGACTGTGTCTCAGGTACTGGGCACCTTCAACGTCCTCAGCTACGCAGCCAAAGCCGGGTTGACATGCATTTGATGTAAGCATCCTGTAGCGCGCAGCAGCTACTGCGATCAGTCTTTGCTTGAAGGTTTGGTGTGGTTCTTTTGACCAGATGTCTTGGAAGGTTGGTGCTCGGGTGCTTTACATCTCCACTACGGACGTCTACGCCGATAAGGCCCAGGCAGACGCAGCAGTTTGTGTTTCCTCAGAGCATGCCATTTGCAGTAAGATATGGTTGAAATGTTGGGTATGCAACGTCATATGCTGTACAGTTTCGGAACCCTCAGACCCTCGGAAGATGTCGGGAACCAAGAGCTAGATCAGAAATCTCAGCTTTCTGCGGTAGAGTGGTAGATGTAACGGCAGAGAGCCAGTGCTGCTCGTGAATGCTGCAGCTTGCGGCAGGCCTTGTGTGTCTTTACCCGAAGTCGGGCTCTGTTATTCTGCATGTTGAGTGGCGGCTAAAGCCAGGCAGTGTTGTTTCACCACTTGTTGGGTTGGTACCTCTCTGGAGCGTCCTGTACGTCTGTGAGGCAGATGCCTGCGCCCTGGACCTACGGGAGGAGGTGCGAAGGATGTGACGTGTGTAGTCCTTCTCAGCCTAAAACAGCTACTGCCCTGAGAATAAGAAGCTGATAAATCCCAAGTTGTGTGACAACGTAGCGGGTTGTGGCATGCATGG